ACATCCATTGGCAGCAAGAGCCTTACTGGAGCCCAAGGTGATTATATTTCCATATCCATCTCTGTGTATAGAGTGATTAAATGTAGGAGAATTGGATATCCCAGGGATAAACCTGCACATGGAATGGGGGAAAATCTGCCCCTTTCCACCTCTGTCCCATTCCAGGCTGTTCCTTCCTTCCTGCTCCATTCCTGACAGCTTTTTATCCTCCCAGCATTTTGGCAAAAGGACTTGCAGGAGGCAATTAAGCTTTTATCTCTGATCCCACTCAGCCCCATCACTCCAACATTCACTCACTTCCCAAATGGGACAACCCTGACATCTAGATCAAACTGGAAAATTCCCTCTGGGGAGAGAGGTCACTTCTCATCCTGCTGCTCTGAGGCTTTGGAGCACATGGAGCCCCTGGAAGTGCCTGGAGCTTATCCCTTCTCCTTCCCTTCATCCATCCACACTCACTCAGGGATATCTCCCCAGATCTCTGTCCTGCTTAGGAGCAGCCAGGAGGCTCCACAGGCTCCTTGCACTGGGAATTGCTGCTGGCACTGGGAAAAGCATCCCAGTACATGGACTCACCAGCATGTCTGAGCAACAGGAAGTTTTTCCTTTGAGGTTCATCCATGAAATGTGACAAATCAAATGGTGTGGAGAGAATGAAATAAATGTTGTCCCATTCCACAGCTGGACAAGGAATTAGTCTGAGCTTTAGGCTTAAAATTCCATGTGAAGCCTCAGCTGCTTTTCCTGCAAGGATTTGGTTCTGGAGCTGCTCTCCCTGGTTTTTTTACATCTTAACCTTTATCTCCAACTCCTGCAAGGATTTGGTTCTAGAGCTGCTCTCCCTGTGTTTTTACATCTTAACCTTTATCTCCAACCTCTTGTTAGAGCAGCTTTGCAAAGCTGTTGAAAACCTCTTGGTTTTCCTTTCCCTCCTGCTTTTCAACCTGCTGAAAGTGCAGCAAAGTGGAAAGGTTTGAAGAAGGAATTAAAAAATCCACCCAACTCTTCTTTTTTTTTTTCACTGAATGCAGCATTTTCCCAAAGAATTCAGGGATACAAAACATTTCCATAAGGAAAAGGAAGCAGAGCATCACTGGCTCTGTGCTGATGGATGCAAAACATTCTCCAAGGCAGTGATACTTCTCCCTCTCCAAAAAAATACTCAGTCTGGAAGCATTTTGATGTCAAAAACTTACTTAGGCATCCTTTTCTTTATCATGAAAGCTTGAGGTGATTTGTCAGCAAGGGAAGCAGAGAGAAGGGCAGAGGAGGAGGCTGAGGGTGGCTGGGAATCCATGGGAAAGGTATCCCGAGCAGGAGGGAGATGGAAAAACAGCCACAATTCCAGCACAACCCAAGGGCGTAAACTCCTGTCAGGACTCTCCAATCAGGTCCGGGAGGTTTGGCTGGAGGTGTTATAAAACCAGGAGGGTGTGATTTCAGCGAATCCCGGCAGGGAGAGAGAAGGAGAGGGATGAGCACTGGGATGAGAGCAGGGATGAGCTCAGGGATGAGCACTGGGATGAGCCCAGGGATGCTCTCTGGAAGGAGACACACATCACCCAGTGCTCCCCCAGCAGCGATGAGCAGATTCTCTCCTGCAGCTCAGCATCCCATCCCAGTCTCCTCCAGACCCAGGACATCCTTCCTCATCCAAGACATCCTGTGGGATGGGGAGGAGCAGGGCAGGAGCAGAGGGATCGGCAGGATGGGAACAGGCACGGCCGACAGGAGAGAGGGATCAGTCCCGGGATATCCTCAAGGCAATTCCCAACCCTCGGGAGCTTCCCAGGACACAGTGACACACCACGGAGAGGACACAGGTAAAGGAATGGAACATCCTGCCTGGCTGGGAAGGGACTGGGATCTGTGCTTGGGGAAGGGAATGGATTGGGAAAAGTCTGTGCCATGTTGGGGAATGGATCAGGAAATTCTATGCTTGGGGAAGGGAATGGATCAGGAATGTCAATACTTGGGGCAGGGAATGGAT